CAAAAACAGAGAGCACTGTAGAAAAATAAAATCATTTAAAATCTGGTTTATATTTGGAAAGCTTTTTAAAAAGTTTCAGGTATTACAGTAAAACTGTACCATAGGATGAAAAAGTTTTTGGCGGGGGGGAGGGAAGGGAAAGGAGTCTAAAACAAGGATTTTGAGATTGAAACCATCCATTTTAAGAGAATTTACAGGAAACTCAGCTAAGCGAACGCCAAAAGTTTTCCAAAAAGCCAAGCCAAGTTCAATATAACCCAATCTCGGGAACATCAGAGGAACACTCAGAGCTCTGCTATGATTATCTGTGTCTGTGCCTTCACACAGAGCCCAATTTTCAGTGCAGTGTGACTTGCAGGATGTGCAAAAATAGATCCCTAACCTTGCACTTCACATTAAAGCCAAGTTAAGGATTCTATTAGGGCGCCCAGACCACATGTTCTGGACAGCAGGGCAAGGTACGGGTTAGGTGGGAACTAAAGTTACTCACCAACTCCGAAGGCAGTAACTATGCAGGTATTTCTAGCACATCAGGTGCTACAGCTGTGCTGCCCATGGCTGCTAGCAACACCGTGGCTCAAGGCACTGTTGTCCCCAACTCCCCCAAAACACAGGGACAATTAACAATTCTCCCTAAATTCCCCCAAATTCATGGGCTGGGGGAAGGTGGCAGGACCCCTTCAAAGCTTCCTGGCTCTTGTGATGCCTTTTGAAATTATGGTCACCCCTAGGAGTCCCMCACACCTCTGCAGGGGAACAAAAATAAACAATTACACTTAAAATAAGATTTCCCCCTCCCACTCTTCCCTCCTCCTGCTTTCTCATCTTTTTGATGGATGTATTCTTTGGCTGCTTTTGACACACAAAAGGAAAACAGAGGACATGGATTAAGTTGGTGGTTCAGAGTAGACAGATGAAAGGCCAAAAAATGAAGCCAATGAATCATAAAACTCCCCGGACTGATTGCTGGGAAGCCCTGCAYGCTGCCTGGGCTTACATGCCTGCGTGTCTTCACAGCTTTTCCTGCAGAGGAAGAAGGTGGCTCTGCAGTTTCCACCAGCCCCCACAGAGCAGAAAGCCTCTGCTGCTCTGCTGAGCTCTCACGGAGCAGCCCATCCTTCCTCCTCACCTTCCAAGGTCTTCCAGGGGGCTGGAGGACCCCCTATAGCTGTGGGACATTCACTAGAAAAAGGTGGTTTCTCCAGGAGAGACAGACCTACTAGAAGGTTTCAGAATKAAACCCAGGTTGATGGGTGCTTTGCAGAGCCTAGAACAATAAGGGGAGAGCAATGGTGACCATTTCAACAGCCAGAGGCCAAATAGGAGACTCTGGGTCAGTCAAGGGTTATTTTAGGTCTAGAATATAAATTCTTCCTCATACCAACTGCCTCTTGTCACAGGCTGTGGCTGCTCAGAGGTCCATGGACCTGAAGGAACAACCCACCTGGAGAGAGCTGTGAAGAGCCACCACGCAAAGGAGGGACAAGCCTTGCACCCAGTCACAACCATCTGGGTCTTRAAATAGCTGCTGAAATAAATACTTGGGGCAGATTAGCAAGTTACACCTCTTAACCTACTGTTAATAACGTACCAGGAAAGAGAAATAAAAGAGGGAAAGAAGAGGAAAAAGCACACACACCCCACCAACAGAAAACTTCTCAATAAAATTCATTTGTGAAGCACTCACTGCAGCTTTGTAGCAGCAGACCCTTTCACAACTTAGTTTCTAATGTGTTCCATGAGACTGTGGCAGTGCTTTGCATAGAGGATTTCCTTGACCAGAAGAGCCAAATTTGAATTTCAAATACTACAGTCCTCCCAGCTCAGACTTCCCTTTCAGGAAGGGGAATACTTCAGCCTCCCAAACTTAAAATTCCCCACTTTAGGAGGCCTGGCAAAATACAAGGATSCAAAGCTGTGCATGCAAAATATTGAAAGGGTGACTGCAAAGCACTGCCAGGCCAGCTACACCTGCACAAGCACCKTCAGCAGCAGTAGCTGGTGCAGCTCCTGTTCCTGAGTCTAAGTGCTTGCTGGATTGCAAGCATATTGCTTCTGTTGTACAGATAGGGAAATTACAGCAAAAAGGACCAGCTTCCAACCTGGCCCAGGAAAAGGGCAGCAGAGCAGGCAGCATAAAGTCAGTGCCATTACTAGGTTTTCTTCATTGCAATTCTCTAGGCTTTACGTAGCCTCCAAAGCCATGCAATTGCTCCTACAGGCAAGAAATAGCTCAGTGAGGAGTTTTACCTAAGAGAGGTTTAGCTGCAATTTTTCCTCATGCAGTGTGGCTTATCTTTATGCTTGAGAGCTGTGCTACAGATCTCTGTGCATAAAGACAGTCAGACCTGGCCTGCTGGTAAGGCAGCCCCACCACTGAGCAGGGCAACCTGACAGCAGTGAGGGCAACGTGAGTTAGTCTGGAAAAGGAACAAACACAAACCAGAACCTTTCATTACACTCAGTCTGCTGAAGCTGCACTGTGTTTTCCAACGAGGGTATCATCGCAGTGACAGCATAAGTTGGTATGAAAGAAAAGTCATATGTACACAGGCATACACAGGACTGCACATCTAAGTTTCCAGTAACATACTCCACAAAAATGGAAACAAGTCAACTTGACAACTAGCCAGTATAAGAACTCAAATAAGTTTTAGCTCACACACCTATCCCTGCTTTCCCTGCCAAGATCTGCCTTTGCCATCATATTTTCCTATTAAAAAAGGTTTCTTCTATGTTAAAACATGTAGAAATCGGGAAAAATACTCAACAGAATCACCATCTAGGCGAAACTTTACAACATCTATACCCGAAGGGTGATATCCTGGTATTATTGAAGTTGACAGTATTCTGAGTTTAGYAGAGCCAGGTTTTTCTCCACAGCAGTTCAAATGCTGCAAGTAAATRCAATAGTATAGAAAAGTAAAAAGAAAGATTGAAATGCRTTTTTATTTCATCTTCCTCAGACAYTAGCACCAAGTTAAGTACACACAGTTCTCCTTTACCACAGTATCTCTCAGGAATAAGGATAACACCTAATTTTCAGGAATTTCAGTCCTYGTAAGAGCTGCTCATGGTCTGAGGAGTGTTTGGAGGCATAAGGAGTGTTTTTATGTCTGAATCATGAAGCTATAGAGAGGTTCAGGTGACTTGGTCAGTGTTGCACTGAACAGCACAGCCACACTCTGCTACAATCAYGTCACCCTCCCGCAATAGTCTCGACCCTCCAAAACCTCAGCCTCCTTAGGCTAGGAGCATCTTTCTCAGGAACCTCCTGTTTGCCGAGCGAATCCCCTGGAAGAGCCGATGAAACTCAGCAAGAGCAGAGCCCGGCCCCGAAGCAGGATTACACCTTGAAGTGCTTTGACAGCTCTAAGTGTTTTCTTCCTGCTCAGGAGGCTTGTTGGCAGCTCCGGCCGCCCTGCAGCTTCTGCTGTCTTTAATCCCGGGCTCCTTGCCACGGCTCACTCGGGAGCTGCGTGCATGTTCCTGGTTAAGCTGAGCCTTCCCTGCTCACACGAGGGCGGATGGAAGCAGCAGCTCCCCGGGCTGGCTTTGGATCACAGGGAAGGGCTGAGGGAAATGGGGCTATTGCAAGCCAGGCAAGTGGGAAGGAGGCTTCAGCTTGCCTGGCTGAGGAGCCAGACCTTGGGGAGCAAGTGCCCAACATCCCTCAACCTCCCATGCAACCCTCCAAGCTGCCAACATCGTCTCACTCTCTCTTTCCCCTGGGAGAAAGGCTGGGTAGACTCTGACCATAAATCAGGAGGCAAGAGAATGTAATTTTAAGTCTTGCATAACAGCATCTCTCTTGCAAAAGGGAGAGACACTGAGCAAAGGTACTGAATATCTTGAAGGAGCTATTAAAAAGATGCTGATCTCCTCAGAGGCTGTTTTTTCCCCTCCGGGCATCAYAATTCAAGAGACATCAGGCACGTTATGGGAAACGGTTCGTTCATTTACTGCCCATAATCACAGCAGGAGCACGATTTTTCTGATAACTCAGTATGAGAGCAGCGAGAATGAATAAAATATAGTCCAGAACTCCCGCAGATGCATTAAAGATGACATCCTAGCTCAGAGGCTCTCCCAGAGCATCCAGTCAGACTGTACTAGTCATGTCACTTTGCATTATTTGACATGATGCCATATGTGACTGATAAAACCAGACAGACATACACAACAATAATGTAACCGTGCCTCAAGAAAATGGCAAAATTAGTCCCTTGTGACATTGTGACCAAGTAAATTAAAGCAAGTGGGGGAAAAAAATGTTGCGTACACATAGCCTGCTGCCTGGCATGAAATTATGCACTGATTCAAGTCTTTTTGCAAGCAGTCAACACTGGTCTAATAAAGTAAAAAAAAAATTAAAATATTCTAATGAAATTAGGATAAATTGCCCTTTTGTACCTATAAAGAAAGGCCAGACACAAAGTGTCCCTTTGATAGAAGGATGAGAAGAAAAAAAGTCATGGGACAGGAGGAACAGACCAGGTCTGCCACAGTACAGCATAAGGTCCCTCATTAGGTCTTGAGGGGCTGTCACCCTTGCCACTGCTTCAAATTAGAAGGCTTTTCCTCCAGTTTCAACATGGGGGTCTCACTCCAAGCCTCAAGCCCTTCAGGTGGGAGTCACAAGTCAACAGGACCCACCAGCACAGGAGCCTCTCAGAGGGAACACAGCGGCATCACTGCTCTACAAGGCTACAGCCTAGGAGCTAAAGCCTTCCACCCTTTGTGGCTTATTTTAATSCAGCTCTTTTGTTGGGAGCACAAAAACTGCGATGCTGCATCAGTGAAGGGCCAACTCCCCCCTTCCCATCTGCATCTTCAGCCCCTGCTAGGGTTGCAAGGACAAAAACTGGTCTAGTTATTTCTGCTCACCAAACTTCCTCGCTCATGCCCCACTGAGACACTTTTTAAAAAA